TCTCTCTCTCTCTCTCTCTCTCTCTCTCTCTCTCTCTCTCTCTCTCTCTCTCTCTCTCTCTCTCTCTCTCGCGTGTGTGAAGTCAGCTTGTTTTCCGTTGTTGTTTTTTTCGTTTGTGTATTTCATTTTTTTTCTCTACTTTGTCAGCGTGTCGTCCCTACAGAAGCGGGGCCCGGTGTCTGCGCTACGACCGGGCCTTCCCTCGGCCGACCCCCCTAAGGCTGCGGCGCGTATACGGGAAGGCCCGCGGCCGATAGCTGAGCGAGGTACTGGTGGTTTAAACCACCAGTACTTGGCCCAGCTATCGTTGCCGAGCCTGGAATCCCCCTGCGCGCCAATGTTTGCCGAAGCGCCAGGGTACCGTTTCGATTTTTTTTGGCTGGCGCTTCCAGCCATTGAGGTCCGGTACCCCGAAGCCCGAACTTTGCGTAGCGTTAACGGCAACGGCCCACGGCCGATGTATGGGCCAAGTACTGGTGGTTTAAGGACCTTGCTCCACTTGAGACTTGAGCTCTGGTGTTTATGGGCCTGGAACATGTTGGAACATGTTGAATGTCGAGTGGTGATCGCCACCATCTGGTACAGACCAAATGGCCTGTGTCCCGCATGCGGGGCGGCCTGGTCGAAACCTGTGGTGTATAGGCAAAGGATTGGACGTAGGGCGCGGCGCCGTCGTGCCGGCTGCACTTTTCTACTAATCTCCAGACGTGATCACAGTCAGATACATCCCGTCCGTTTGGAATTGCGTTCAGGTACATATAACATAGTGCTAGTGTGAGTATGCTCTCCTTGTCACTAGACAGAGGGTACCATTTTAAGTCAGAATCACTACAAAGGGTTCTTGTTCGAAATGGGGACGATGATGGTGGGCTCTTTTCATTTCCCAGCCATCCGGCTGGGAACGTTAAAATAGACAATCTCATAGGCCAAACAATACTGATGAGCAACACTGAGTAGGAGAGGGAGGAGCAGGAAGAGGAGGAGGAGAAGGGAGAGGAGGAGAAGGCGGCAGAGATGGAGGAGGAGAACGAGGAGGAAGAGATAGAGGACAAGGCAGAGAGGAAGGAGCAGAAGGACTCAGAAATGAAGGAGAAAGGAGAGGAAGAGGAGTCAACGGCCCGCAACAGGAGGCGGGAGGAGGGGGAGAAGGAATGGGAAGAAGGAAGAGGAGGAAGCACAAATGGAGGAGGAAGAGGGAACAGAAGGGAGGAGGCAGGGATGGAGGAGGAGGAGAACAAAGAGGAAGAGAAGCAGAACAAGGAGTGAAAGGCTGGCAACAGGACGGAGGAGGAGGAGGAGGAAGCGGAGAAACAGGAGTACCAGTAGTAAAGGGGCTCACAACATTCAACTCTCTCTCTCTCTCTCTCTCTCTCTCTCTCTCTCTCTCTCTCTCTCTCTCTCTCTCTCTCTCTCTCT